ACAAAAGAAAAGAACAAGAACGAATTGATCGTGAGCGTATGCGACGTCTTATGGCTGAAGATGAGGAAGGTTATCGATGTCTTATCGATGCGAAAAAAGACCAAAGACTGCATCATTTACTAACTCAAACTGATGAATTTATCAGTAATTTGACAAAACTTGTTCGTGAACATAAACGAGAACAAAGTAAACAGCGTTTTAGGGAACGATCAGAAAGGAGAAAATTTGCACAGGAATCGGCTCTACAAAATGCTGTTGTTTTATACCGAAAATTAGCTGACGATATTATTAGGAACGGTGGACAACCACCAGGTTATTTAAGTACTTTACCATCTACTGAGAAATTTCCTGAAGAACTTAACCAAGTAAACCGTGACTGGTTATGCGGCAAAATTTCATCCTCTAACATTCAGTTACCTGAAGTACGTATACCTATGTATCAAACGACAACAAAAGAGATTGTTGAAGGTGATGCTGCACCTCTAGCCTCAGAAGTTTCCACTTGGCTCCAAGAACATCAAGGATGGGAGGTAAGGTGATGTGCCTCGTGTTTATAGGCACTAACTTCGTTATAACCCTAATTCGTTATTAAGCGCTAAAAAGTAAAAAAGTAAGGAATTCTAAATCCAAATCATGAGTCATATCTGGGTTTGCTTATCGGGGTTTTATGCGTACTTATTTTGCTCGAAACTAAATACCATAGTCAACTACCTGAACTGATACAATTTGATATGTTTACGGGTCTTAGTTCCGCACACTTACAAAAGTAAAATCTATAACTTACACTCACTTGATGAGAATCGGTAAGTTCAAACTGTGGCTAAATCCGAAGCACACTAATTAATATTTAATGAGTTAAAGTAAAGCTTCACTTGAAATTTTGAAAATCACTGCATCTGAATACATCATGAAATTTAAATTTTGCTAGGCGATCGGTCTGTACTTTGACATCTTTTCATACCCTTATAAGCAAAATACGTCGCAAATTCACTATGTTTATTGTCCTAAATTTAAGACATTCCTCATTTTTGTTGATTTCTTAATCCAATTCCGTTCAACTTATTACAAATTACTATACTTCACCAAAAGTAGAGAAGGGTTGAAAGATGATGAGAAATTGCAGTCGCAAAAGGATTGTGAAAAACAATATTATATAATACAAGATATTCAGTTAAAAATACTATTAAAAAAGACTTACAGCTAAAGAACATCATCTCGTAAACAGAATCGCTATTAACTTCTGTTTTGAGCCATGTTTATTAACGTAATCAGTTGCGGAGTCTCTATATCTACAGCCTGGGAGTCGTAATAGTCCTATAAATTTCAGTCCTAGACAGCTTTAACGGCGCGGGTTCATGCAATAAACTGTCACCGCTTTATCCAACTAGTCAAAACTCAAGAGGTAATACATGAAATTTTTAAATTTTATTTCTCATTATACTATCATTTTGGCTTCATTGTTGGATTTCATTCAAAGATAGATAGATTTTACGTAGTTGACATTTATTGTGTGAATCATTTACTTAACAGATTCTTCCAACTGATACTGATGGGTCCGTAATACATGACTTATTGGAACCAGATGAGGAGTTTAAACGTAAACGCAAATTTGATGACGATGACGATGATGATGACAATAGTATGGTACATGTCGGGACCGAAGATGACGAATATAATAAACGTGGTGAATCTGGTGCAAATGCACCTCAATCCTATTATACTCTCGCTCATGCTGTACGAGAAGAAGTCAAAGAACAAGCTAGTATTCTTGTCCATGGTCGACTAAAAGAATATCAATTGAGGGGTCTCGAGTGGCTCGTTTCATTATATAACAATAATCTAAATGGTATACTTGCTGATGAAATGGGTCTGGGTAAAACAATCCAAACGATCGCTCTAATTACGTATTTAATGGAGAGAAAACGCGTTAATGGACCGTTCTTGATTATTGTACCACTTTCGTAAGTTAAGATTGGCGTTACATTAATTACTTTTCTGTAATAATCTCGTTTGTTCTCGTATCCATGTGTTGCATTAAATTTAGAGACCCATGTGTCATTAATCATTTAAGAAACTGCCCAAGAGATTTGGGTTGATGGTTTTGCAATCATTTGAAACTGATGTGTTTCTGTTTCCCTTTGTGGTTCACTTGGCTGCATGTAGTGAGCTTTCAAGATTCCATATATGATGTATATATCCTACTTTTTCGAACTATTTACAGTAAATAAGCGTCGTACTTTAACGGAATTTCTGTTTATCATTATTTTCTGTTCTCCCAGTTTCGGTTATTTTGTTTCGTATTTCAATAATTTCTTCTTTCTATGTTATTTAACCAATCTTTGTAATTATATTAGAATTTATATATCTTATAGATAACAATAAAAATATTTTTACGACTAACTGGTTTGTTTTCTATTAATTTTGCAACTGTAGTGTTATGTCCAATTGGGCGATGGAGTTTGACCGCTGGGGACCAAGTGTAAAAAAGATATTATATAAGGGTTCACCCCAAGCTCGCCGACTTCTTCAGACACAAATAAAAGCATCAAAAATCAATGTGCTGTTAACAACCTATGAATATATCATTAAAGATAAGTCAGCTCTTTCTAAAGTAAGTGCATAATTTCGTTGGTTTTCTATGTTTATGCGTAGTTATATTTTTGGACAACTAGCAATATTAGTACGGGGAAAACGAAATGCAAGTGAATATTGAATATTGAAGTATACAAAATTTACGATAAAGTTTTTAGATTGATTTATTTGCATTACTCTGGTCGGTTTTTAACTTTTTTACTCACGGTTTTTATTTATTTTTTTGCCTAAACACGAACACTGGTACAAAAGGCCACCTAAATATTTATGCGCTCCACAAATTATTAAGTTTATTAGTGGACTGGTATATTGCCTGGTTGTTCAAACCGAAGCAGGTGCTTTCCTTAGGTAGGCATTGTAGCGTTTGACCCATAAGTGTAATCCATAATGGAATGCAGCAACGTTAAGAGATGCAGTCCCATGTTGCCCGGTGGCTAATTGTGTGTTCATACGAAATTTGTTTTTCGAGAATCCTGTAGCCTATATGTACTAATGGTTTAAAATCAATGTTTTCCAACTCCACTATGTAGATCCTGCCCACCAACCAGATCTCAGCACCGGACCATTCACTTTTCGTTCTCTCAATTTCATAAACATCACTCGCGCAATGATAGAGAGAGTGGACTCTCTCCACTCTTAGCATTTGTTGGGCTTCACTAATCTTTGTCATATAGGGTCCAACTTTTATCTCAAACTAATATTAATTTTAGTCATGGCTTATTACCACATCTTGATTTAATTTCTCGTGAGAGAATACCATTCACCCTGTACTGCACCAATCATTGTACATCGAGATATTTGATAGTCTAACAGGTTTTATATACCGATGCGAACGAATCAGTCACTGTAAGCTTATAGTATCTATTTCGCTCTCACTTTCGAAATGCTCCTTTAAATAAAATAAGATCGTAATTCAAACCATACTGAACTCTTTTTAGCGTTGAGCGATAAATGAGAACTAATGATGTGTCACGAAACTCCAGCAAGTGTTTAAATATTAAAAGAACATTTTTAGGAGGCTTGTAGTTTCTTTAAATACAAGTATGTCGTTGAAACTTACTTCAGAAACGTTAATGAGTATTTATTAAATATTGAAGATGTTTAGTTCCTCTTAATATTCTATTTCACTCAAAGTTTTAAAATTTATTTTGCTGGAGATGTTGGATTCCCAGAACTCTCTTGGGAAAGGTCCTAATTTTGAATTTTATGTTTTCGCGCCAAAGACAATCATTTTGACTTTCAGCTTGCATATCCCACTCGGAAAATCGTTGACTGTCATTGGTTGATGGGTAATTTTGATACGCTATTTTGTGGCTCTCACCAAGGGCGTTTTATCATTGTATAAATAAGCTGGGGTTGTGTGCTTGTCCACCTCGTAGTTTCTGGTTGCCTGTGGAATACATTTCTTTACGTCTTATCAAAAATTCTTCCTCTAGTTGGTGGGGCCTAGGACGATCGAATTAGAGTAGCCTATTGTGCCGCTGAATCATTGATCTTCGTTCCGTTTACCAAGTAAGGTGGACCCGTAATAACTGCAAGCTTATCGATTGGTGACGGTAGTTTTTGAAACATGGATCCTTCTTAACTTGTATTATTACTTGAGCAGCAGCTGAAACTAATGAAGATGTTGACAGATACCAATCTGCAACGTGACACGACTATAGTTCAGAGTGGTAGATCTGGTTAATCTGACGAACGTGTAGGGCAGAAATCACCTAACTAGAATAAATATGCCCCTGCTACACCCAGTCCATCCCATTCCAGCTCTGTCCGTCAGACGAAAACGAATCCTCCTGCCCCTTGCTGGCACTGTGGTGCATGGCACTATGTGCGAAACTGCCCATTTAAGCAACATCAATGTAGGAAGTGTAGGGTCGTCGGTCACAAAGATGGTTTTTGTCTAAATAGGAAGCCAAACCGATCCAGAAGTACCAAAAAGACCATTCCTAGATCCTGTACCAATTCGTTGAGCCTCGTATCTTCGTGTCAAAGCTCATCCCCAGGTGAGAGGAAATTCATCACCCTTAATATTAACGAGAATTCGTTTAGATTGCGAATAGATACTGCATCAGACGTCACCATTCTCTCACGTAAAATTTGGACCGAAATGGTCAGCCCAAGCCTGCAGCGAACAGCACAGAAGCCTCGTACTGCTTGTGGCAATTATATTCGCTTTGTAGGACGATTGGAATGTAAACTTGCCTTCCGAGATTCGTCGTTTACTGGGATATGTTATATAACGCCAGCTGACCTAAACTTACTTCGTTTAGATCGGTTCGATCAGCTAAAATTAGTTGATGTCCCCTTTAAAATACTATATCCCACCTGGTATCACAACCACATGACCCTGAAGCATATATGAGGAAGCTAATGACGCAGTTTCCGACTATTTTTCAACCCGGCGTGGATCGGTGCTCTGCCATGAAAGCAACGCTTCGGTTGAAACCTGGGGCTAAGCCTGTTTTCCGTCCAAAGAGACCAGTACCTTACGCAACATTACCAACAGCAGATGAAGGACTGAATCGCCTTCAACAACAAGCAGTTTTTACGCCCGTTTCTTACTCTACTTGGGCAGCACCTATAGTTGTTGTCAAGAAGGCCGACGGCACGACACGTATATGTGCTGACTTCTCTACAGGTCGCAATGCAGCTCTGGAACAGCATCGTTATCCTCTGCCAGTTCCTGCAGATCTGTTTACTATGCTGGTTGGGGGATAGTTTTTCGGAGAACTGGATCTAGCTGATGCTTATTTGTAAGTAGGAGTTGCTGAGGCATCAAGAGATCTGCTTACTATAAATACTCATCGTGCTTTGTTTCAGTTTAATCGTCTGCCTTTTGGAGTCAAGACCGCCCCATCTATCTTCCAGCAACTAATGTATACCATCCTATCAGGTATCTTCACAGTCGCGGCTCATCTCGATGACATTTTAGTTGTTGCGACGACATTAGAACAACTACAGGAACGCACGACATTGGTACTGCAACGCATCAGTGACAACGTGTTTCGGTTATGCCCGGAGAAATGCCAGTTTTTCCTGCAGTCAGTAATATTCGCTATTGATTATTGGAACATATCGTTGAATGAAGTACAATAGTATGATGGCTGTTTTGTGATACTGTGTACTGTAATGGGATAAATGTTTCTTAGTTCTGCATAAGAAGGAAATGCAATTAGATTGTTCTGTGGCGTTTTACTTGATATCCTTAAAAATACGATTCTGTTAATTACTTCTCATGACTGTCGAATCATACATCTCCAGCTATAGGAGATTTGTTTTGAACAAAAGCGTCATATCACAATCTTGGGAAATTTAATCTCACAGCTTCTGCATAACATAGAACTACCTTTGCTTATCAACGTACGCTTTAGTGGATACTTTGTGAACAGAGTCAATAGTTGTACCTTTTCGTTTTGCTTTGCTCATATGTACTCTAAAGTAGTCTCTCAACCTAAGTGTATTGTTGGTCAGATTCGGTACTAATTTAAAATTTCAAAATACCAGTCGTCTTTCAATTTGTATATGTTTCTTATATAATGATTACGGGAATGATCATTTTTCAGGTGAATATAAAATCCCATGATTCTTTCAGAGGATTGTATATGTTTATTTGCTTTAATCTGGATGGCCTCACTAAATTACCATCCTTTTTTTCTTTTAATGATATCAAGTAATGCTTTCCTTTCAAAACCACCATTATTTGTTCGCGAGGTGTTTTAGTTACCTTTACGCGTCTATTTTCTCTTAATTATTGTATAGGTGAAGTGGAAATATATGATAATTGATGAAGGTCATCGAATGAAAAATCATCATTGTAAACTTACCCAAGTATTAAACACATATTATACTGCACCATATCGACTTCTACTCACTGGTACACCATTACAAAATAAATTACCTGAACTATGGGCGTTGCTAAATTTCTTGTTACCAACAATTTTTGAAAGTGTCAACACATTCGAACAATGGTTTAATGCTCCTTTCGCTGCAACTGGAGAAAAAGTATGTGCTTATTCTAATTGACTTTTTTCCTGTTAGTGAGAACTTTGTAATTGGTACATTAAATCGTTTTCCTTGTTTGTGAATATTCAATATTAGGCATTACTACTCAGTATATAGAAATATCTGGTGCATTTGCTCAATCAATTTAACGTAGTGTTATATCTCAGTGATACCCTTAGAAATTTCATGATGTGTTTCACTATCCTGATATTGCTTCGTTACAGTGAATAAACGGAGTGCTGTTTAACTGTGAACAAACAGAAAAAATTGATTTGATGAATGAACCAGTATAAGTAGTATCTGTCTGTATAGTGAACTACCTAGAGTAATTAACACTACTGATTTTTTTAAACTCAGATTTACACAATTTCTAATGTTTTCTCCTTTCTATTAATGCCATTTGGACAACCCTTTTTGTAAGAGAATAATGTTGCTGGATTTTTTAGTTATGCTTGTACTAGTTATCAGTGGATAAAATAGCTATAGTCCGTTTTTTATAGTCAATATAATTCAATTATCATCATAATAGTAGTACTGCTTATGTTAAGCAGAGTTATTTATAAATTTTTCTAAGCTAAATAAATGAACGTGACATGGAAAATTATCTGTTTTGAGACATAATCGCTTTTAAATTCTGTCATTATACAGTTCGTATGTTTGACTTTGTGTGTAAATTGTGAAGTTCGTTAATTTTATTTAAAAAATAGGCTATAACTTAGCTAAGAGAAAATATCTTTTTGTGCTCTAATTTTTAACGTAATGAAACGTATTTGGGCGAATAATTTAGGGGTTTACTTCAATCACCTAATAATCGTAATACTATATCATTTAAACTATCTTTCTTAAAACAAACCATGTAGAACAAAAGTGAAATGCAGTCGAAAACACCTTATAGCATATATCCTACATGACATTAGTTTAATCTCCTGTTAGTGAAAGCCCAGATATGATGAACCATTTGAGTGAATATTAACCGAAAGTAGTTTTATCATGTTTTCTGTATTAACCCATAGTCATGGCTTTATCAGTATTAATGAACATCTGTCTTATTCTCTCATTTGTTAAAGGTCGAATTGAACCAGGAAGAAACACTGCTTATTATTCGTCGCCTACACAAAGTGTTACGACCATTCCTATTACGTCGTCTCAAACGTGAGGTGGAATCTCAATTGCCAGAAAAAGTTGAATATGTGATTAAATGTGAAATGTCAGATTTGCAAAGGGTTCTTTATTCACATATGCAATCTAAAGGTGTAATTTTAACTGATGGATCAGAAAAAGATAAAAAAGTAAGCGTAAAATCTAGGTACACTTGACGCTATAGTTTGAGTGGTAGAATGTCTAGTATCTAAAGCTGATTGTACAGTTCTAACCCTCCCATGATTTAAAAACTATAACATCTCAAAAAATATTTTTATCAGTATTATCTCTTTAATACTATACGGCTGTTTTGCCGTACAGTAATGTCTGAAAACTATAACACTTTATTTTGTGAATTAGCTCGAAGATATAATTTTCCTAAAGTTTCGTGAACGAACAAACTTAATTGGTAACTCACTAATCGAACACTCATAGTCGAGTGAGAGCTTATGGCTAACTGTTATCGGAATTCATTACGTCAAGTGGTGTCCGACTGACTTTTGCCAACTTGCGTCACTTATGGTGTAGGAGAAATATTCGCATGCTAATCAAAGGACGAGTCCACTGTGCAGCAGATCTATCTGTCCCACTGTATGAACGTGAAACATGGCCGGTAAGGGTTGAAGATATTCGTAGATTACTAGCATTCGATCATTTGTGTCTTCGAAGCAGTGCTCGTATGTCTTGGGATGATAGAGTAAGCAATGCTGTTGTTAGGAAACGGGTACTAGGTAAGGATGGCAGATCAATAGATGGAGTAATGGATCTTAATTAGATGAGGTCATTGGGACATGTTTTACGTATGCTGAACCACTGACTGCCCCGACGAAAGTTGTTTCGTGGTGTAGGAGTAGGCTAGAAAGCGATTGGCGGCCAAACCAAAATTTAGCTCAAATCCATGAAGTCACTGGCAAGTGGACTGAGCCATGTTAGTATGTTTAGACTACCTGGTTGGGTTCCGCGGAACGATAGTAATCAATTATTGGAGACCTTGAACGACATGACTCAAAGTTGTTTGCAATGATGCAGGTGCATTCACTCTTTCTGTTCTTTGAAATTCGAATCTCCTGAATGCCTCATCACCTCTTTCTGTTTTAAATTTATCTCACTGAATTATTCTTCTTGTATAATATCTTCGAACCCTAATCCTCTCCTTTGCCGCTAATACTTCTACTACGTCCACGACTTTGTGAATGGAATCGTCAATTGCATCTCTATGCTAGCCTGGTGTGGCAACTTGAACTGATGTAAATACGTACGAATTTCTGCGTTGTTGCCAACTGACTGACTAGGAAAATCAAAACAAATATTACTGCCTGGCTGTTATATTTTTAATTATTCTCTCTCATTGTTGCACTCTCCAGGGTAAAGGTGGTTGTCGAACTTTAATGAATACAATTATGCAGCTTCGAAAGATTTGTAATCATCCATTTATGTTCCCACATATTGAAATGGCTATAGCTGAACAAAACTTCTTAAATACTCATAATGGTAATCCACCACCAACTTTACCTGTGCCAACACAAGTTGAAGGTAAAATATTATACCGCTCTTCTGGTAAATTTGAATTACTTGATAGAATTCTGCCAAAATTAAAATGTTGTGGACATCGTGTATTGATATTTTGTCAAATGACAAGTTTAATGACAATTATGCAGGTTAGTTTATGAAGTTTATTGCTTGACCATTTGTTTATTGTTGTCATTAGTAAACATATATTCGAGTTTCTTACTATAAATTTACATTTTCGGAGATATTTATGACAAATATTCAAAACCGTCCTGATTCCACAAACAGATATAATAAACTAGAAGTGAATAAGTACGAAATCTAACCTTAATCAAAATTGTTTGGGTGATTTTAATGTGGTTTAACGTTGGAGGTGGTTCACTAGGGAAGCAAATTTCATTAAACTAAAACTTAGTTTCTACATGTTTGAAAAGAGTAGAAACAACAACTTAATTACCATTTTTGGTCGCATATTGTGAAACCGAAAGCATGGATTAATTGAATGAGCAGTGGCGTACTCATTTTAAGACCTAAAGTTCCTACTTTTAATCGAAAGAAGTGCTGAGAACAGATGCTTCACAAAGAGAATCCTAAACTAAGAAGCAGATATCGATCAATGATCTTTGGCGTGTTAATTTTTTTAGCTGGTTATATCCTATATTGAGCGTACACCAAATATAATTCTTGTCTTTTCAGGATTACTTCGATTACCGAAATTTTCGTTATCTACGTCTTGATGGAACTACTCGTTCAGAAGATCGTGGAGAACTACTAGTGAAATTTAATGATACTTCTGAAGATATATTTATTTTCTTACTCTCAACTCGTGCTGGTGGTCTGGGACTTAATCTGCAAGCTGCAGACACAGTGATTATATTTGATTCAGATTGGAATCCTCATCAAGATTTACAAGCTCAGGATCGTGCTCATCGTATCGGTCAACAAAATGAAGTATGCAATTCTGTATATTTTTGTTGATTTTTTATTAATGAATATCTTCCGTTCTGTCAATAAGTCTTTAAGGTGTATTAACTGTACCAGTTAGTATCATTAAGATGACTTACTCCAGATAGT